AGACAACCTCTCGTCAATATGCGTTTTTCGCATTGCATTGCTGCAAAAAACGCATAAAAAGTGGAATGTGGATAAAATAAGATTAAAATCTGAATGGGGATGTTTCGGTTAAAGTAATTTTAGATTCAGCAGTGCTAATGCAATTCCACGCTGACCCCCCAACTACCACGATGCAGCGCTTGAAAGCGCTCACCACCGGTTCGCTTCCAACCTTCATCGATGCCAGCTCTAATTTTGCAAGCACAGCAGTTATGGAGGATAACTGGATTGATCAGATTGTTGCGACAAATCGAAGTGTGATTATGCTTGGCGATAGTACTTGGTACTTTTTTTTGCCAATTTGGCCAGTTATTGTTTCATAGTCGCGTTGCTTTTTTTGCAGCCGGCAAATTTCTTATTTATATCTATCCTGGGCCTTTCTCCGCTACATAATTTCTTCATACTGGCCTCCCAGCGGATCCTCTCATGATCTTGTCGGCCCTCCTATTTTGTTCTTTTAGCATTGCGTGATTGTCATTCAGTGTTTCAAATGACCTGTTCAATTTTTTTCCCTGGCGAACATTGCTTTGAAAATGTAACTCGCTTTAGAACGAAATCACAAATATTATTGAAACGTGTAACAGCCTGCACTTGTTTACACACGCTGTTCCAGCATGGCGCACTTTGTTACCATTAGTTCTCAAAAGACGTGATGTTATATGTTTTTTTTCATACAAAGAACTGTTAGAACAGTATCACTCGCAGTCGATGATAGATTGCTGTTAGAGTACTCTTAGTACTGTCGGTATAATTTGCATTAACTGATACTCTTTTAAAATTATTTCTGGCCATCTCTGAGGAGTTATTAACTGTTCGTACTTCCCTCGAAAATTTCATTACGAAGCCATATTGGGGATAAATCAGCGGAAAAATTGCTGCACTGGATAAATCGAACACAAGCTGCTTAACACAGTTTTAGCGTCTCATCCCTATACAGTCGGAAAGATGAAATAGTTTCTTGTCGTCTGAGTGAGCTTCACTGATACATGACTTGCTTGACTTATTTCATATAAATCTAATAATTATCATTCATTTTCAAGGGTATCTCTTTATCCGACTCAATTCAAACGCAGCTATCATGCCCCATCTTTCGATATTAACGATATCCATACAGTCGACCGGTTGGTTGAAGGCAAGTTTTGCATTCTGAAAACGCCCCTTCCCGAATTCTGGACCTTCTTTTTGTTTAGCCAATGTTTTTTTT